ATAAATTTTTTTATTATTGGATGATGTGAGTGATTTTTTAAGAAAACTAGTTTTGATGTTGTTCGGTTGGCGAAAAAAATAAGGAAATGAATTATAAGAAACCTATTTCCTGTAGTTTCTTGTTTTCTTTTGTTCGGTTCATTCTTAAAAATAAGAAATGAAATGAGATGAGATGAGTTGTCATTGTATTATTGGGTGATGTGAAGAAAGATTAAGAAAAGTGTTTTCATAACTTTTTGGGATGAAAATGAAGAAATGAAATGTTAATGAGATGAGGTGAATTGTTATAATATTTTATTCGATGATGTGAGTGATTTGAAATAATAAAAAGAGATGAGTTGAGTGATGTTTGGATGAAAATAATATTTTATTAGATGTGATGGATGAGTTGTTAGATGAAAATAATATTTTATTAGATGTGGTGGATGAGTGGTTAGATGAAAATAATATTTTATTAGATGATGTGGATAAGTTGTTGGATGAAAATAATATTTTATTGGATGTTGTGGGTGAGTTTTAGGGATGGAAATGGAAGAAATGGGTTATTTTGAGATTTCCACTATTTCCATTTCCATTTCTTGCTTTTTTGAAAACAAACGAACAGGCCCTAAAGCATTTTGTTCCTTTAGAAAATTAAGAAATAATAAAAAGTACAAAAAAAACTGTTGATCTATATTTCTAAAGGTTGGTCAAAAAGTACAAAATATAAGTATATTAAATTAGAGAGGAAGGATAAATATATTAGTGTCTATTTGCTTCTTATATGATGCTAATTCTTGTAATATGATATTTCTATAATGAAACTAGATTTAAACCTCATTATTAACAATTTAAAATGCAATTAACTTTAAGTGTTTGTGTTAAATTTGTAAATCTTCTCATATATGTTACTAGGCTATGATCTATTAGATTTCTAATAGACGACATCCATGATTTCTAATAGACGACATCCATGATTTTATTTCTAATAGACGACATCCATGATTTCATTTGTAGAATTTGATTTCCAGTAGATGATATCCATGATTTTATTTCTTTTATTTCGCTAGAACTCCAAAGTAATTAGTAACTTCGCTAGACTGCACAAAAAAGATGAACGAAATAAGATGACACCTGCAAAGAATAGTGATAATTATCTTAAAGAGACTTGCTCTATTAGACTTATCGCTGTCCGAGAACTAGGGGTGTCCAAAAAGCCCGGAGCCCGGGCCCGGCCCGGGCCCGGAAACCCGGGCAAAACCCGGGTCCGGGCCCGGGTCGCCGTTGACGAGCCCTGTCCGGGCCCGGCCCGGGCCCGGAACAGTGCCCAAATTGGGCACTGGGGCTTCGAATGGCCGGGCCGGCCCGGCCCGGCCCGGGCCGAACGGTCACTTTCGTGACCGTTTTGGTCGGGCCGGGCCGGTCTGGCCCGGCCCGGCCCGGGTCAAATCCTTGGCCGGGCCGACGGTCACAAAAGTGACCGTTAGGCCCGGGCCGGACGGTCACCTTCGTGACCGTTTTGGCCGGGGCCAAAACTGGCCTAACGGTCAGATTTGGCCTTTTGACCGTTTTGCCCCTTAAAACGGTAAAAAAACGGCTATTTTTCGAGGGTTTTTTGGTCATTTACCTAGGGGGCTGCTTCTATAAATAGAGGTGGGTTTCAATTCATTTCCTCACAACAAAACTCATCTATTTATCTCTCTACTACTCTCTTATACAATCTTATACTATCTCATACTAATATACTATCCTATAATCTTTTGTATTTTCTAATACTTCCAACAAATGGCTTCTGAGTCTGATTATGAAGAGCAACATGCAACTCCTACCGATCCAGAGATGAGTCCTCCTACAACAACTCCTCATCCTACCGGTGTTAATCCTGAATCTGGTGGCGACGAATCTACGACACCAAGAGCTCCAAAAAGGCCGAGGTCTGATGTATGGAATTTTTTTGAGAAGATAGACGTCACCAAGGATGAACACGGTAGGATCATCTCTCAGAATGCGAAATGTGCGTTGTGCGGCCAGATATTCAAAGCTCATCATAAGAGCGGCACCAACCATCTCAAACGGCATATTGAAAAACACAACAAAGGCCAAAATCTACAAGGTGATATCCGGCAGTCTATGCTTTCCCAATCATCCTCTTCAGGTACCCTCGGCAGTTGGAATTATGACGCTGCCCGAGCCCGGAAATGCGTAATCAGGTTTATTGTTCTTAAAAACCTTCCTTTTAAATTAGTAGAAGATGATGAATTTGAAGATTTGTTTAGAGATGGTTTTTATCCTGCATTTACAAAATTTTCTCGTCAAACCTGTCAACGTGATATTTTAAAATATTATGTTGAGGAACAGGGAAAAATAATTTCTTATTTTAAAAATTTAAACTGCAAATTTTCTTTAACTTCTGATATTTGGTCATCTAGAGTGCAAACTGGTTATTTATGTATAACAGCACACTGGATTGATGAAAGTTGGAAAATGTTTAAAAGAGTTGTTTCTTTTATTGCAATTGAAGAGTCACACACTGGTATTAATGTTGCAAATTTAATTGTTGAAGAACTTACGAAACTAGAAATTGATCAAAGAATATTTACTCTTTCACTAGATAATGCAAGTAATAATAATGTAGCTGTTGATTTTCTGAAAATAACTTTGTCATTGCCATGTCATGGTGAGCTTTTTCATGTTAGATGTATCTGTCATATTTTAAATTTAATTGTTCAAAGTGCATTTTCTGAAATTAAACCCATGATAGAAAAAGTTAGAACAGTTACTAATATGCATAATGCTTCTGAAATGAGAATTAAAAGATGGAAACAATGTTGTAAAAGAAAAAATTATAAGCCTAGACTAATTCCAAAAGATGTTGACCATAGGTGGAATTCCACCTATGCAATGTTATCTGTAGCAATAGAATATAAAGAAATTATAAATGATTTTATAAATTTTTATGCTTCTAGTTCTAGCTCTGGTAGTGCTTATGGAATAACTGAAGATGAATGGACAGTTATATGTAAATTAAATGAGATGTTACAAGTTTTTTATGATGCTACTATGTTATTATCTGGTTGTTATTATCCAACTATTACTTTAGCTGCTTTACAAATTTTAAATATTCAAAAATTTTTTGCAAAATATCGTATGGATGATACTTTTGGAAATATAATTTTTCAAATGGAGAGTAAATTTAATAAGTATTTTAGGCCTATTCCTCATATTTTTGGTATTGGTGTTCTTATTGATCCATGCTTGAAGGAAATTGGCCTTCGAAGTTTGTTACAATCATTGTATGGTGGACAGATTATAGACTTAGATGATGGATCCACCCTTACTGCTACTACTCATTATGTAGCTATTAGAAATTATTTTCAAACCTTATATGATGAGTATGCAGCTAGATATGGTGTAGCTACACAACAGTCTTCAGCTTCGGCACCTTCAGCTTCGAGCACAGGTCGAGGTAAAAGTGTAAGTTTTGATAGGTATGCAATGGTAGCTGAACTAACTGGTGGATCTGGAACTTCATCAGGATTAGAGGTTTCTGAAATAGACGAATATTTATCTGCTTCCTTAGTTAAATGTCAAGGAAATGCTTTAGATATTTTGCAATGGTGGAAAGTATATGGATCAGTTTCATATCCTATACTTTCCACCATGGTTCGTGACTTACTATCAGTGCAGGTTTCGACTGTAGCCTCGGAATCCGCTTTCAGCACAGCAGGACGTTTGATCGACGACCACAGGACATGCTTAGATCCGTATACTGTACAAGCGGTGATGTGCTTACAGGATTGGTGGAGATACGAGAAGCGAACACAAGGCATCGAACGGATTGCTATGATTGAAGATAAATTTGAAGAGTTGGGACTAGCAGATAGATATAATGATTAGATAATATTCATAAAATTGTAATTTTTATTTCTTAGCTTTAAATTTGAATTAAATTATTTCGAAAAAAGTTGCAAATGATAGTGATATGGGTGAGTAGGTGCCAACCTAGTTGGGATGTACTCATCTATTGTGATGCGACGAATTTCGAAATAAATTTATACTTGTAAAGGATTTGTAAAGGATTTACCGATTATTAATAAAGAAGTTATTTTTATCATTTTTTGTACTTGTAATTTATGTCATTTCATTTCAAGTTATTAATTAAATTTATGACATTTTTTATAATAATTTATGATTTATGGTTTTGTTAAAATTTTAAAAAAATAAAAAAAAACAAAAAAAAATTTCTTAAAAAAAATCAAACCGGGCCGGCCCGGTGTCCGGCCCGCTCAGGCCCCGGCCTGGGCCCGAGCCCGGCCCGGACCACCCGGGCTCGGGTCCGGGCTTGGGTTTTGCCCGGCCCGGGCCCGGTTTCCCGGGCCAGGCCGGGCCGGCCCGGCCCGGATGGACAGCCCTACCGAGAACCTTAGACTTAGGATTTTTTTATAAAATTCGTTGCATCTAGAAAATGATTGATTCTTTAAAAAAAGCATTTAAACATAAAACACTTATATTATCACCCGCATTTCCTATTCAAGCATCTACCAATTTAAATATCTTGGACAAAAAAACTGCTCTACACTATTCAAAACCCAATCTATCCACATCCAAAAGTCATCAAACTACTTCGAAAAAAATTGACTTGAAAGCGTATTATTTTCTTTGTTTTTGATGGATTTTTATTGAATTGTTCGCTTTCTAGAAAATTTCTTTGATATCTTCAAAGTCAACATGATAAATTCAAAATTTTAAAGGCTCAAAGAATTCATCCAGGACATGTCAAACCTAATTTTGAATCACAATTCTGCTTTTTGGCTCACGTCCTCCCCAGCTCGCGCCCAACTCGCAGAGAGCGGAACAGGGGGGATGGGGCCCAGCTATAGGCCCCACCCCCCTTTCCGCTCTCTGCGAGTTGGGCACGAGCTAGGAAGGGCGCGAGCCAAAAAGTATTTTCGTTTTTATATTAAGTTTACACTTGTTTTGTTTAATGGTCAAATTGTCTGACGGTCAAATTTCATTCACAGTGAAGTAAAATTGAAACTTATAATGTAAAGGACATGTTATGCGCCCCTTTGTGCACTCCCGATACATAATTTTTCATCCACAATTTCAAGGGAAATTCTTGTTCCTCCATAAATTACAAGTTATATGACAATTTCAAAAGTGTCACATATTTTGCACTGGATGTACAATGCAGTAAGATCAAACACTGTCTCCATACAAAACTTTGGCATCACCTTGCACCCTCTTTCAAGATGTTCGACATGCACTTCACCTAGACGGTCTCTCAGAAAATCCAAGTTCACCTGATGAACATGAGATGGAAATTACATAACCAAAGGTTTTATTTCTTGTTATGCATAAATATTCTTCTCAAGATGCTCATGTAGTAAAAATGAACGGAAAATTGCAGAATTTGACGTTAAACCTTATCATTTTCAAGGTCCAGCCGCAGATTACAACTAGTACAATAAATGAAATGATAGGCCTCTCGTAGCTCCCCTTGTTTGCAAATGGGACACCATACTTTGTCATTCTTGCTGATGACCTATCATCCAAATTAGTTAAACAATAGTGCTGTTCAGATTGAACTTGGAAGAAAAAGTAGTAACATTAGAAAGTGGAAACTGTCTCGAAAACAAGAGTTCAAGCATTATAACAAAAGACGGGGATGTAGTGAAATGATATATTGTGTGTAAAATCTTCTTTTCCCATGTTTAGTTAATGAAAAGAAAAGGTAAGAGGATAGGGAGCCAGAACACGGGCTGAGGTGAAAGGGAGCCAGAACATGGGGCATATTTTTATTCCAGGTGATCAAAACTTCTCATAACTTAAGAAAAGGACGGCTCTTTTTTCTCCTCGTATTCTCTCTTTACCCCTTTCAACGCACCCAAGGATAAAATTCCTTATCAGTAAATAAGGTAATCTTAAGGTGCTTTAGTATTTTAGATTATTCAAATTAGTTCGAATCCACGAATGTAAATAGCTTTTGTAGCTGAAAATACAGAATAATTTGCACGTACATCTTACCCGTTGCATTTATTGCCTACTAGAATCGCAATACAAATACAAAAACTTTAATAGTTGTAAAGCACCAAACTACATGAAGTGATTCTCAGAACATGTGAATTATTATTGTTTACTAGACAAATATTTTAGACTGAGAACAGAAACCCATATGCATGCAGGCTACTTGAAGCAGAATGCAACCTACTGGCTGTAGAATCCTACAACAACTCTCACCTCAATAAACTTTAACATGCATGATTGAGAAAGACTAACAGGGACTTTAGTTGGTAATGATGACTAGTTCCAAGCCTTACGCAAGGAAAGACCAAAATAGAATGAAAATACATTGAAGACTACAACGATATCAATGCAATAAAGGCAAAGCATGGAGTGGTTGGAAATCATTAAAGATCTAGTGTTCCTTCTTTCTAAGTTCAGTAAAGTTGAAGAAAAAGCAAATATTGGTGACTTCAGCCTAGACCAAACTGAGTGAGAGCACTGTACCATGCCACATGGACAGTCTCAGCATAAAACAAGCATGAACAATGCCTAAGACATTCATTTATTCTTTCTAGTTGTTAGCTTGAACTAGCTCTCCCTAGATTTTACATACCTGTTTATTGTCAAGTTGGATTTGTTCAAAAACTGCCCGAGCCAAGTAATCTTCTTCCTCCTCATAAGCCTCTAACTCTGCAAAACATTTATATCAGTCCATCATCATGAAGGGCATATTGCGATAAGAACGATAAAGCAATTAATCTCATGTCAACTACTTAAAATTATAAACACTGACAGAACCGTAAAAAAATTATCCACAAGCATCCTATTAACAGCATGTTTGTTTAAGCACTCTGGGAAGAACTATTGTGTCAAGGCCTAATTCACAAATCTTAACGAGTGAACATTCTTTATACATGAATATACCTGTCAAAGTTCTCTCCCGCTACCCCAAAACACTGAATTTGGCCTGAGGTTTGAGGGGTATACATTTATATTCTAGGATCACCCGCAGGTTGAGCCCCAGTTCATGGGCTGAAACCTGGACTCACAGAGCGGTATCTTTTTTCTTAATCCTCTTTAGAAATTTGCGGCCAATGAGATTTGAATCTGGGCCAAGCTGATACCATATCAAATTTCCCTGTCACTACACCACACCAGAACTCCAAAGTTAAGATGAGGGTTGATGGACATACTTTTATACTTTAACAATACCCAAGGCTTGAGGCAAACTATTCTTTATGGTGATGCGACTATAGTTCAAAACCTTATCCTTAATCTGGGTTTTATTACATAGTTTTCCAAGACCTAAAAAACGAAGATACACGTCGATTAGTGGGTCCATGTAATTTCCGCAAGAAGCTGGTAGGATATTCCATAAACATCAAAGTCTTCATAATTCATATAGGAGCTATAATTCCGGAAAATGTCATACTCCTAATTATCATCATCACCAATCAAGTCTCTTTATTATCCAATGCCCACCTATGTACAGGTCTATAATAATTCGGTAACCTTCACAACTGTGAACATGATACCCCTATGTGAGATGTTTGCCGATTTCTTAGGAAAGCAACTATCATAAGTGGGTAAGCTACCACCAAAGAACAGCGTACAAAATTGTCCAAGAATGCCAAAGAGTTGGAGAATGAAAAAGAAACACATGATTTAAGATCAGACGATAATGCAAGCCAACACAAAAAAAACTAAAGATTTAAGAGAAATCCAATGATTGCGGTCAACGCAAGGCACTAGGTAAAGAAAGGTTTCAATTAGGCCATGCTGTTTTACAGTTTTAGGGGACTTTTCGATTCTATAGTGAGTGCCTCACTTCCTTCTCTGGTTAAAGAAGACTGTGGCATAAGGGGTCCTCAAATAGGAGATTCAGGATCACACAGGCATAGTATTATACACCTTCAAACTACAGATAGTTTGTACTCCTTTCCCCAAAAGGACACTATAGTTTTAAATGAGAGAACAAGCATAAAGGTGAATGTCAATTGAAATTTTGACCACATGTCTTAGAACTAGCAGTTTATACGTTTCTGCGTAGCTCATTTCATATGTTTTTCAATGTGATCATTCTCATAAGTTTTTTGACTTAATCAAATATGCCGCTTGCCATCCCCTCCGTAAGAATCATAAATGACAATATTTTATACGAAATGATACCATTCATCATTTCAAATGATGCAAAGTTTCAGACTTCGGAAGATGTTCTAAATTAACTGGCCCTTAGGTTACTTTTGTCTACTTCTATTCTATTTTTCTCTTACTTGCTAAATCAACTATGAGAAGATTACAACATAATAGAAGCAACATCTGTGAAACAAGAAGTATGGGAATTTCAGGAACTTTAGCATTAATAAACCAAAATAATCCCCATTTAGTATAAAATATAAAATAAAGTTAGACCAGTCTATTAAATTTGACTCTTCACTATAGCCTTTTCAATTAAAAATGAATTTTTCTACACAAAAACTCCACATTTGAGGAGATTCCACCAAGAATCTGATTTCACGACCAGGGATCAATCCACTAGTGCTTGGTGCCAAAATTCCTACACAGAAAATCTGTGCAAGGAGGAAAACTGGAACACTGAGGTCAGTCTGGTACATGTAAAATCTCCTGAGAATCTGATTCTCAGAAATCAGATTACAGCAAATGTTGCATTATCATGTTTGATGTAATCTGAATATTCAAACCAATGCAAAATAAGGATCACAAGAAAGCAATATTTATCAACATATTATTCATAAATTAACTCCATGTGTGCAAGAACGAGGGCAGTGTTGGTGGCCATTGAGGTAGGAGTGATAATGGCATAAGCGAGTAAAAGTGAGAATAGTAGTGGTGGTAAATAGACAATATGGTGATGAACTGGTGGCATGTCAGGTGCTGGGGATGACATTGAACTATGGTTACAAACTATGGTGGGAGACTGGGAGATGCAGAAATGCACCGGTGATGTTGGTCACAGACTGGAATAGTGGAATATTACCTTCCAGCGAATACTAATGTCAGACATGGGAATCCGTAGGAATCTCTGATTCCCAAGTGAATTTGCCCAATAACATGTACCTGGAAAACAATTTCTGAACTAAATTATCCAGTATAATTCTGGAAATAATTACCAACTAGACAAAATAAACTTATAAAAACTATTAAGCATCAGATAAAGTGATTGATCAGAAAAAAAGGCTAATAAGCATCCTAAAAAAGAAATCTAGTAGTGTTGGCTTGTCAGACTACCAGATATTAGCCCGTACCAAATCAATGCTGTTTTGTAGTAAAAAGGATTCCTTGTTCAGTCAATAGGACAAAAACACCCGAATCTTAAAAGTTTTGCAATGATGTGTACATGTAAGAGGGTCAAAACTACCCAACCAGACTACCTAGCAATTATTAACGGTTATGGGTCAAAATATACAGACAAGAGTCATATGCATACCCCTATAACCCATCGACCTATGACCCGAAGGACTGTAAGCCATCTCATTCCTCTCCATACCCTATCCTCTATTCATACCGTAGTGCAAATTAGATGAGGTCTCTGTAGTTGACGATGACAGCTTTCCTCAGTCAGGCAACTAGTGCCCACAGCTCACCAAAAAATGGCAGAACACATTGACCCTTCGCCTGAAGATTCTCAAGTACTTCACCGGCGAGTGGCGGCGAGCGTGTCAAGTAGCAACTTCCTTTGGGGTCACTTGGGTTTGATTTTGGGTTGTTGCAATAGGGGCGGTGGAGGGGGCAGATCTCCCAGGGAGGAGAGAGATTAAAGGAATATTGGATTAAAGGAATATTGGAATATGTGTAGTACACTCTCTCCCTTGAGATGCTTTACTGTCTTTCTACATGGGAAATGACAAAAGATTCAATGGTAATTTTGCTCCTTGATAGTTATGTGTGTGTGTGTATAAGGTGCAACCGTTACTGTTTTGGAATAGAAGTTTATCACGAGTTGGGTTGGGGTAACCTGTTTAATAAATGGGTTGGACATCCTAACCCTTACCAAACCCATTTATTAACTGGATCAGGTCGTGCCGAACTTACATGCTTCAGGTCAGAATTGACCTGATGGCAAATGAGCCAGCTTGACCTGCTTGCCACCCCTATGAACGTGGTCTCACGTCGTTATTAACAAAATCAGCCAACATATTTTATTACCGACTTAGACATGTTCACCAAAATAATCATGTATTGTCCACAATAAAAGATAAGTGAACTTTGTTCAAAAAGAAGATGATATTTCTATCTTACAACATGACCACCAAATGAATAATAAGTTATTGTGCATGATATTAGTTTCATCCCAGAAAAAAGGAAGCATGCCATGTGTTCAGACCCCAGATCCACATGGCAAGAGTGAAACACGATTCTTGACCAAGACCAGTCCAACAAAGAGGCTCGCAGAGGTCAGCTTTACCACCCCATGTCAGGTCAAGCATCCATCTCAATCCTGAGCCTGACATCATCTTCCCTTGGTGAACTCAAGCTCGAACAAAAACCATGATTCCTACTGTTCTTCACCTCCTACAGGAACGTATACCATGTCCGGCCTACTCACTAGGAGCGGGGAATTCGGCAAGGCAACTGCCCCATATGCCTGTCCTCTCAACTGCCATGCTGCATTATCTCCAATACATGTCTCCTCAAATCAAAGAAGGATTAGTATTAGTAGAGCTTTTTCCTACTACAAGAAGTCGACACATGTGTCCTCCCTCAGCAAACTAGGATATGAACATGTGTGCCTGTGCCTGTCCTTAATCTGACCGTCCAAGTGCCAATATAAAGAAAAAAAAAACCTATGGTAAAAGGGGAGTTAAATTTTCTTAACAGAATGAGACATTTTGAGTTCTCTCTATCAAAATACACCAAAGGGAAATTCTAACTTGGGCATTGGAGGTTCATTCGGAGATCTGTTTCCGACGCCTTCTGACAAGAGCTGCTATCTTGAGCAGGAGGAGAGCCATTCATCTGTCAGTTTCTCCATAGGCCCATTCCCCAGCATCTTGCACATCGGCAGATGACTCAACAAAATTTATACTATGCTTAACAAAAGTAATTACTTGCACCAACAAAGATAACAAGGAATTGAAGAAAACAGATATAATACACAATCAATCTAAAAGGGTGCTCTGAGATAATGAAAAAACAAGCCCTAAAACCATAGCTGAATGAAATAAACAGGGTTGAGCATTAGTATGGTAGGAAATGACGTGAGGTGGGACTTGATGTCTTGCGGTGGAAGGGAAGTAGGAGTAATGCAGTAAAAATTATTTAAAACTTTTATAAGCCAGTCTGCGGTATTCACCATATGGCAAATATTTTGCAGCATGCATTTCCATGCGGTTTATCAAAAAAGGAAAATGAACCAAACTGTGAGGAATGCATCACACAGGACATCATATGTTACTCTACCATAATGTATGTAAAAACTATTTCTTAGGGTTCTCTCTAAAAGAAGGTAGTCTGACTGTAAGAAAAACTTGTCAAATTCCACTAACTATACGATAGATAAGGCCTTCAAATTACCTCTTTTGATCATTTCCTCTCTCAGCTCTTCGTAAAGGAGCCTCTCCATTTCTATTAGGATGTCTTCACTTTCAATTTCTACTGAGTTATCTGCATTAGGACCATCATATTCCCATAAGAAGTCAACATCTTTAGACATTGAAGTTTCTTGGCAGTCTCTAGAAGGTGGCTGCTTAATTTTCTGCAGCTCATCAGATAATATATCTCTGAATGCAGATCCCACAATGACCTAAAAAAAATCCAAACAACGAATGGTAGAATATTATAAGGTAAGGAAACAATAATTGTAAAAATCTGGCTACAAAGGAAACAACTATAAAGACAGATGACAACACATAGAGAACAAACAATGATGCAGTAAAAAATGGAAATAAATTTGGGAACTCTATAATTTGACGAGATAAATTAGAAAGTGAAAGAAAAACAAGCACTTCTGATAACTGAAGAAAGTGTGCTGAATAGCAAATGGAAGGTCAGCCAGTGTCTTAGTACTACCATACTATCATTTTGCCTAATAATTTCAGACTCACACTTCCTGAAAAAGCCAGCATCTAGAGGTAAAGCCATCTAATAACCTTCATGCTTAGCATGAGAAGGAGTATAAGGAAAAAAATAACATAATTCATTTTATTTGAAAAGAAAAGAGACTACGACCTCTGCTAATGAATACCAGTTCCCTCTTATCACTTCTGGGTTTGGTTTCTTAGGACCAATAGCATTTCCAACTAGATTTACAATCTGAGTCAAATGATTTAAATGAAGACCAGATCTATAGGACTTTCCTGACAGCCTTCCTTCAAATTCAAAGTCTGAGGGTCGATCAAAATGATACTGGTTTATTAAAGACTTCTCATTTAAGTGGTATGCCCCTAATCCAAACAAAAGCACATACTCATGTAACAGAAAATTTTATTCACATAACTAAAGTAGTGCAGAATGGAAAGTAAATACTAAATCAGAAGTGTAATGGATGACTATTGATAACATGAACAGAGCTCTAATCTATTCCTCTATAATAATGGGAGGATCCAAGATTCACTATTCATGCTACAGTAAATGTTACAGCAAATTACGGTAGCATTTGTTACTGTAGCATAGACATGAGAATCCAATGTTCGTTATTCATGCCACAATAAATCACTGTAGCACAGATGAGAACTGTAGCATTCGAAAGACATTATTGTAGTATTAGTACTGTAGTATTATCACTGTAGGTCGATACTGTAGCATTAAAAATGTTGCTGTAGCGCTTACAAAAACTGTATTAAATATAGAATTATTGTAGCAAAAATAAAAAATAGAGGTCGTGCTTTGCACGGGGTGCACACTAGTAGTTAACTAAAGCAGGGTTTGGAAGCTAGCAATAACACCAAGAATGAGGACATGGAGCAAAGGAAAATACAAAAAAAAAAGAGAGGTATAACCAGTTTCAGTTAGTCCAATGTAGCACCAGAAAGCATTTTACTTGCTCATGTTCATGGTCCTGGAGAAAGTTTTCAGACTTGCATTACGTCTAAAAACTGCCAAAGCCTGGCAGATTGGTGGCAAGCACCAAGTAGGCACAGGCCTAAGCTACAGAGTAAATTAAGAGATTTCTGTAGAGCAAAATAGCTTTGACTTGCAAATGATGTGGAAAGATCACGAGTATTTGAGGGTGAAATGAGAAAAATGCCAACAAACCATTACAGTCTAAACTGCACTTAATCATTCTATTAAACAGATTAAACACATGGATGATAGAAGGGTGTCCACACAAGGTACGGTCGGGAGGACATAGATCTGGAATACAACAAATTCTTCTATTTCTACAGAACAAATTAAATGGGAGTTGAGCCAAGAATAGTCACTGAAGCAGAGTTCTGGAGGGTTTTTTGATCCAAGGTGAAGTACTATTTTTCTAAAACTAATTAGGATACTTTTAGAAGCCAGATGCAATGTACTTGAAGGCATATAAACAAGATTGTGGGATGCAGACAGCGAAGAGAAGTGGCAAGTGCTGCTTATGCTTTTTAGGGCTTAAGCGGGGAAAGGACAAAGCTAATTTGTTTATTTTTCAATTTTTAAATTGGATAAAATTTCAAAAAATTAAAATAAAAGGAAAATATCATGAAAAGTTTTAGAAATCATAAAACAAGCAAAAACTGGAGGAATTGTTTTTAAACAAATGCATATATGATGTTTATAGTGATCCTAAACTTTAAATAGATGTGTAACAATGCTTAGATTCAATCATGCAATACTAACAAATACTAATGTGATAAACTAACATGTAGTGAACTCTGTACACCAAAAGTCATCAAGTTAATGATTTAACGTAAATTATCAAAGGAAAAGCTTTTGGTGGCTGCTTTTGACGGCCTATGCTATTTCCAAGGTAAGAATTTCATAACTGTAGTTGCAAGGGAATACCTTAGTTTCATACAATCCATCGACTAAAAAATAGTTCATGGGTTACCTCACAGTTTAAAAGACTGCAAACTGACATTACAAGATCTGCAGTTGAAAAGCTACTAATGCGAGGTTTAATCGCAAAGTGCATTGGATGGAAATACAGAAGAGATCTTGGTAATACTCAAGCATAATCAAGAATAACCCTGCTTAACGACCTTAGTAGTTTCCCACACTTAATCAGTTCTCCTTATGTTTGGCCTTTTCCATGACTAATTAATCACGATATCAGTTGATTGACCAAGTAATAATTAGATGCATGAAAATGAACTAAAGTGTTTTCTTAAAAATAGTGTGGTGGTACTCAAGAATACCACTAGCTGCCTCATCAAACTCATTACACAGTAGCTCCATTAATCAAGCAACGAAATCGGGCAGAAATTGGGATTATCAGTATTGAATTATATAAAAACTAGTTCAACTCTGGAACCATCCAACTCATAGCTGCCAATTGACCTTTGCATCTTGCATGTCATACACTAACGAGTGAACTTTCTTCTCATGAAAACTAGGTGAAGGAATAATGAAATTCAACATTGCTCAAAGGGATGAATGATGAAGTACGTAGTTTTAAAGTTATCCACTCAAATTTAAAAGAATTTATTCTCACCCCTTGATCTCCACTCCCCATTATGTGTCGAAGCTTTTCTATTTGAAGGTGGCAAGCCTTACATCTTAGCACCTAGATTTTGTATCCACATTTGTAGTTTTGAGGGAGTTCAAGAGAACTCAAATAAGAAAAGGACTCAAATCTGAGGTGAAACGGAAAAGCTAGCTGTTCTGAGATAATTATTAATGTCTCTACCATAAGCATGCTTAAGACTATAAATGGGAATTCATCAAAGGGGTCATCACATAGTAAGCACAAGCCATCATTCATCTGTCTGCCGTGACAGCACTCCAAGAATTGAAAGAAATCCCAAACAATTTTATCCATATTATTATTGCCACTAGCTTCATATCTACAAAAGATCTAACAGAGAGCAATTAGGTATGCTGTACGCAATAGAATATAAAAAAAAACCAAGTATCCATTGTGCAATAATATTAGGAGCAACATCATCTAATTTGCTCGAGATTGCAAAGCATATTGAAATAAATAGTGATCCCTTCTTTAAAAACCAAACCCATCCTTCACTTTCACTAAAATGTGTGTCTTCTGCTGGAACATCAACAAATAATCAAAGGAATACAAACTTTTCCCCTTTTTCTTTCTTGTGTGAATAAGGACTGGAAACCCTTTTATTGAAAGGGCGATAAACCTCCTTGAAAAATAGGGTAATAATTAAGAAACAACTTTTCACTTTCAATTTATATACACCTTTAAAGTGGGTTTTTGTTGCAATCAACCACCTACAAATCAAAATTTTCACTAAAAACGTAAAATTGCGCTTTAAAAACTCACGTTCAAGGCACAACTCGTTTTCCTAGCGTTCAGGTTTTGTTAGATACAACTCATGTCCCTTGAACTTGAATTTTTAAAGCTTATTTATGTTTTTTTTAGCAAAAATTTGACTAGAAGGTGGTTGATTGCAAACAAAAACCTATTTTTAAAGGTGGTTCATGTATAAATTCAAATTAAAAGGTAGTTTTCGTATAATTACCCTAATTAGCCCTAATTTTAAGGTGATTTTTAGGAAAACCTGCGTATTGAAAATAGGAATTCAAACCTAACAATAAAAAGTTCACTCTAACACCAAACCTTTTTATCAGCAGTCGGTTCGTTTGACCTTATTTTCCACAATAAACGGGCTCTCTCTTCCCTGATTCTTCTCAAGCAATTTTGCCTAAGCTGCAAAAATAACATCAATTAATCTTATATATCCGTAAAAATCAAAAGGATTTGCCATGAGATGCTAAATTACTTCACAAATATTAAATATAAAATAATGAAAAATATAACAGCAATGAAAAATTATAATAACGAACCAAAGATAAAATACCTTGTCTTTCCAAGTCGTGTGATGGGATTTGAGAGACTCTCTCGTGGGTCGATTTCCTTTCTCGGGCACCATCGAACCATAGAAAGAGAGAGAGAGATTAGGGTTTTTCTTCTCCCCGCGCTTTTTTCTCCTTTCCTTCGGTCTTCTGGAAGATTAATTATTATTTTGAGCTTTTTGTTTTTATGTCCATTTATTTACTTACCTTTATCTTTAAACCCAAGTATTATTAGTTGTATTTTTAAACCTAATTTTCTTTTTGTATTTATCTTTAAACCCAATTTCAAAATACAATACTCTCATATGTGGGTCCTCCTATATAATTTTCATAAATACCAATTATAGCATTCCACTTATAACCTTCATGTAAGTGGGTCCCCCTCAAATAAAATAAAGAAAAATGGGGAGAGCCGAGAGAGAGAAGAAAAATTGACGGTAAAATTCCCCCTCCCCTCTCTCTCTCCATCTTCTATCTCTCTCCCCCTCTTCATCTTCCTTTCTCTCACTCCATTAATAGAACTGAACACTCTCTCGTATAACCCATCATTAATTTAATCACTCTCTCCTATAACCCATCAATTAATTCTCACCAACTTACTTAGCATTTGAAGGTATAAATTTGTAATTTACTCAACTACCAAGTTTATAGCATTAATTTCTCATTTTAACCTTGACAATTATTTGATATGTTAGTTAAATGAGTTCATAAAAATTATTAAATTCATTATTTTTGATAAAATGTTAGTTAAATGAGGTTTTGTAATTAATCACCCATTAATTTCACATTATTATTTCACATTAGTTATTTCACTTTATTATTTCACACTAATTTCTCATTATTCTTTATGAATTCATAACAATTAGTTAAATATTAGTTAAATTTGTTATAATTGATGTAATTTTAGTTAAATTTGATCTTAGTGTAGAATGATAACATGTAAGTATAATATGAAATACAAGATTTGTAAGTATAACACGTTAATCTGAAAGTATAACACGTTATACTGTAAGTATAGCACGTTATCATGTAAGTATAGCACGTTAACCTATAAGTATAGCATGTTATGTTGTAAGTATAGTACGTTAACATGTAAGTATAGCACGTTATATTGTAAGTATAACATGTTATCCTGTAAGTATAACACGTTATGGACTTAAATGAGGTTTTGTAATTAACCACCCATTAATTTCACATTATTATTTCACATTAGTTATTTCACTTTATTATTTCACACTAATTTCTCATTATTCTTTATGAATTCATAAATTAGTTAAATATTAGTTAAATTTGTTATAATTGATATAATTTTAGTTAAATTTGATCTTAGTGTAGAATGATAACTTGTAAGTATAGTATGAAATACAAGATTTGTAAGTATAACATGTTAATCTGAAAGTATAACACGTTATACTGTAAGTATAGCATGTTATACTGTAAGTATAGCACGTTATCATGTAAGTATAGCACGTTAACCTATAAGTATAGCATGTTATATTGTAAGTATAGTACGTTAACATGTAAGTATAGCACGTTATATTGTAAGTATAACATGTTATCCTGTAAGTATAGCATGTTATGGAGTAAGTATAGCACGTTATATTGTAAGTATAACACATTATCCTGTAAGTATAACACGTTAACCTGAAAGTATAGCACGTTATATTGTAAGTATAGCACGTTAACCTGAAAGTATAGCACGTTAATCTGTAAGTATAACACGTCAACCTGAAAGTATAGAACGTTAACCTGTAAGTATAGCGTGCTATACTTCCAGGTTAACGTACTATACTTACAATATAACGTGCTATACTTACAGGTTAACGTGCTATACTTTCAGGTTAACATGCTATACTTACAATATAATGTGCTATACTTACAGGTTAACATGCTATACTTACAGATTAACGTGCTATACTTTTAGGTTAACGTGCTATACTTACTCTATAATATGCTATACTTACAGATTAACGTGCTATACTTACAGATTAACGTGCTATACTTTCAGGTTAACGTGTTATACTTACAATATAACGTGTTATACTTGCAGGTTAACGTGCTATACTTACAGATTAACATGCTATACTTACATGTTAACGTGCTATACTTTCAGGTTAACGTGCTATACTTACAGGTTAACATGCTATATTTTCAGGTTAACGTGCTATACTTACAATATAACGTGCTTACTTACAGGTTAACGTGCTATACTTACAGATTAACGTGTTATACTTATAATATAATGTGCTATACTTACTCCTTAACGTGCTATACTTACAATATAACGTGCTATATTTATAATATAACGTGCTATACTTATAATATAACGTGCTATACTTACTCTACAACGTGCTATACTTTCAACGTGCTATACTTACAATATAACGTGCTATACTTACTCCTTAACGTGCTATACTTACAATATAACGTGTTATACTTACTCTATAACGTTCTATACTTAGTCCATAACATGCTATACTTTCAGATTAACGTACTATACTTTCGATATAACGTGTTATACTTACTCTATAACGTGCTATACTTACAGCTTAACGTGCTATACTTACAGCTTAACGTGTTATACTTATAATATAATGTGCTATACTTACAAGTATATTGTGCTATACTAACAATATAACGTACTATATTTATAATATAACGTGTTATACTTACTCCTTAACATGCTATACTCTCAATATAACGTGCTATACTTTCAATATAACGTGTTATACTTACTCCATAACGTACTATACTTTCGATATAACATGCTATACTTTCGATATAACGTTCTATACTTTCGATATAACGTGCTATACTTTCAATATAATGTGCTATACTTTCAGGTTAACGTGTTATACTTTTAGGTTAACGTGCTATACTTACAATATATCGTGCTATACTTACTCTATAACGTGCTATACTTTCAGGTTAACGTACTAAACTTACTCCTTAACGTGTTATACTTACTCTATAACGTGCTATACTTTTAAGTTATCGTGCTATACTTACAATATAACATGCTATACTTACTCTGTAACGTGCTATACTTACAATATAACGTGCTATACTTATAATAGAACGTGCTATACTTTCAGGTTAACGTGCTATACTTTCAGATTAATGTGCTATACTTTTAATATAACGTGCTATACTTTCGATATAATGTGCTATACTTTCAGGTTAACGTGCTATACTTACAATATATCGTGCTATACTTACTCTATAACGTGCTATACTTACAATATATCGTGCTATACTTACTCTATAACTTGCTATACTTACAATATATCATGCTATACTTGCAATTGACAAATAACAACAGAAATCATGTGTGTTAGAACAAAAGGAGCAAAGAAAATACAACATTGCATATACAAGAGATTGACAAACTATGTACAATATTGCATTTCCAGACAAACTATATACAACGTTGCATATTCAGACAAACTATATACAACATTGCATATCCAGAAGATTGACAAACTATATACAACATTGCATTTTTAGACAAACTATATACAACATTGCATATCCAGAATTCTGCCACAGAGCTATGCATTTCCAGCACTTTGCATTTCAAGAACAAACAACTTTGGATTTCCAGCACTTTGCATTTCCAGGACATACAACTTTGCATTTCCAGCCAAAAAAAATCAAGGACATACAACTTTGCATTTCCAGCACTTTGCATTTTCAGAACATACAACTTTGTATTTCCAGCAATTTGCATTTCAAGAACAAACCAGTTCCGACTTCTTGTACCCAGACAGCTCGTTATCGTGCTCCTCCAGCTCCGATGCCAAATCAAGATACAAATCCCTCTCACCCTCCCACTCTCAGGCCCAATCCAGGGCCCAAACAAAGGCCCAGCGCCCTCCTCCTTCTTCTCCTTCCTCAAACCCCCACCGCCTCCGTTCACCGTCGCGATCGAAGCGATCGTGTTCCCGTTCAAATCGAATCCTACATTAGCCTTGGGCCTCGCCGTCACCGCCTCGATCTCAACCCCAGGCCCCTTCTCCAAGTCAGATCCGCTCCGCCCAGACTCTCGCTGCGGATGCTGCCCCGACTCGGCGAAGACGTTGAACCGGTGCGCTTGGCCCACGACTTGAGGTCCCTGGGGTTGAAGTTGGTGTTCGCGGGGATGAACAGCTCGATCCTCGGTGACCATGGGCCGGGCCTCGCCTTGGGTTTCGACAGCCGGTCTGAGCTCGAACCGGGCTCCATCGAGATCGGGGGAGAGAGCGTGGAGGCGTAGGGGTTTTATGGGGCAAAAAAGGTATTTTGGGGCTTTTACATTCATTCTGTATAAATACAAGTAGTAAAAGTATTGTATTTTAGAATTGGGTTTAAAGACAAATATCAAAAGTGAATTGGGTTTAAAGATACAACTAATAATAGGTGGTTTTAAAGATAAAGCTAGGTAAACAAATGGGCCTAAAGACAAAAACCCCTATTATTTTTCATATGAAGGGAATTTTGGCGAAGAAATCGAGAGAACTTCGTCGAATTAAGGACAAATTTAAAAAATAGACCTATTTATAAAATTAATTGCAAATTTGGCCTCATTTTTAACTTATTTGTCAAAATAGATGGCTGAAATTGGGTCGATTTTGACCAAAAACTGTCTGAAACTTCACAGGACTTCAAGTCCCGTGAAGTTTAGTAGTCAGCTAATTAAGCTCCATAACTTCACGAGACTTCAAGTCCCATAAAATTTTTTTACGTTCATGAAGCTTCACGGGACTTGAAGTCCCGTGAAGTCCCAAGCCCATTTTCTAGAGAAGATGCTCTTTGGAAAATGCAGCTTGCAAAAAGTCTCGTGGAGTTTGGCTTTGCCTATATAAGGCAAAGCCGACTGAACCACCCATGCCCATACATACCCCTCACTAGCGACCCCTCCACGCGACCCAAAAATTAGCGCCTTTCTCCCGCGGCCCCCATCGCCCCCCATCCGACCGACGCCGGCCCTACCGTTGATCGCTCTCGCTACAGTCATCGCCGGAGTTCACCAGAAATTAGGTCATAGATAATTTTAAGATAAAAATCTTTTAAAAAAATTCTCCTAATTTTTTGTTTATTGTCACTATTTCATGGTGATTACTTGTAAAAAGTTAGATTTTGAAATAAATTTTGAATTATTTATGAATTTTGCAAAGAAAAAT